ACATAATTTTGTAGTCACCATATGTCTCTAAAAAAAATTGAAGAAAAAAACAACTAATAAAAAATTTCATCAAACTTTACTCAACTTTTAAAATAAAAAATTTCATCAAACTTTTCTCAAAATAATATTTGTAAATGCTTAAGCATGAATCAGCTGTGAAATATGGGATGTGACTTAACAAACTAAAATTACTCATTTTGCCCAAGTAACAACACTGTCCAAAGTAACCACATTTTATGGTACTATCAATTCAAAACATCTTCCACTGTATGTTAAACTTATGTTGCTTTTGCAAAACACAGCAAATGCAAAACAGTCTAGATTAGATATGTAATCTTAAGTTGTTTGCAAAATGTCTTTAATAAAAGTGTATAAACTTTGTACAAAAAATATTTTAACACTGCTCTAACAGTGAGAAAATGGTTAAACTCATTTTTTTTGATAGTAAAACAAGTAAAAAAAAAAATCAAAAGGCAGTAGCCATGTAACCTAAAGCTATACATCTTGGTGGTTCATGATTGCTTAAAAAATTAGCAAATTTTTCTGAATCACTTTTTGACCTTTCAATATCATCTTGCTCCTAATTAGACTGCTCCTAATTTGACCTTTCAATATCATCTTGCTCCTAATGTAACTGCTATTTAATTATTTCCAAACAGGTGTTGAGATTGTAGAGGTTTTTATGATGACTAACATGGAATTGCAGTTTTGCACATTCAGAGATTTTTACCAGATTTTACAAACTTTGGTTATAGTAAGGTTAACTTCAGTTTTGTCTAAATATATGTGTAGTTTTATCATCCTAAATATATCTAAATAATATATTTAGGATAATAAAACTAACTAATTGTCTAAGGAAGGTTTGAATAAATTGAAACCATGCAATTCATTGTGTGATATAATCATCACCTGTCTCTTAGGACCCTGAACAATGACCTTATATATATTTTTTAATATTGGTGGTCTCAAATCTAAAAGTATAACTAAATATTAGCAACTGTTAAATGTCTTGTCAACAACTGAAATGTTAACTCAATAAATCATTAACTTATATTATTTACTTTTTATTTAATTAAAAAAAAAAGAAAGAAAATTGATCAAATAATAAAAAATAAAGCAGATGTTTACACAGTATATAGCTAAATAGAACATTAAAATTCATTTCAAAATTATAAAAGCACTAATTATTTATCAATTTAACAAATAAATGATTTATATTTTAAATTTATTAACAGCAATCTAAATTTTTGCATGATCAATAGAGTAATAAATGAATCTATCAACATAGTACATAGATAACATATAGAATTGCCAATGAAGGACAATTTTTGCATAAAAATAATAATAATAGAATAATAAAAGCAAATTTCTAACTAGTAAAATACTGAAAGAAATAACAACAAAAAACAAAAGTTCTGATTCCTCTCTTGAGCAAGAATAATTTATATATAATTTAAATTTAGTAAGAATTTATTTATATATAAGAATTTAATTAAATCAGAGTTAGTGCTCTAGAGAAAATAAGTGCTTAGAAAAGACTTATCATTTCTAAAACATTTTGACCTAACTGATAAGAAAATCAAAGTTATTTTTGAAAAAATTTATGATTTTACCTTACAATCACCCAATGAAATATAATGTAGATCTCGATTCTGTTGAGCTAAAATTTTTAAAATGTTTTTATGAATGCTATAGAAATATTTGTGTTGCATACCTATTATGTAAATATAGATATTAGCTATATTCTGTGTAAATATCTGCTTTTTTTTATTATTATTAGATTTAAATCTTTTAATATAAGTAGTTTACATTATATGTGTTACTTAAATATTAATCAAATGTAAAAATATGCAAATATATTTTTTAATACTTATATAATATTTTACATGTATCACTTAAAAATAAATAAAAATTTATATGCTTAAAGCAAAAAATAAATTTTTTTCCTATGCCTATGGATATAAAATATGTGAAAACTATGTTTCAAAATTTTGTTGAACTAATGAATATAGCCTTGTTGAAATGGTCAAATACCTCCTTATATTGGGAATTTGTTTCAACCTTGTGATCTAACATTATTTAACTGTTCAAAGTTGTTTACAATGTTTAATCATCCAGTTATAACAAACAAGGCCAGTTTTACGGGACTATTAAGCAAGGTCTAGAATAAAGTTATAACAAGACCTAATTTAAATATGGCTTTAAATCATGTGAAATGGTTCCTTATAGTCCTTCACATTTAAATGACACAGATGAATGACAATTTAAAAAACATTTTTTGCAGATATCAAACTGGGATAAATTGTGATTGATCTGACACTTTTTAATGCAATTACCGCTTCAAGATCTTTTAAAGCAGTTGATAATAACTATTTTCAGTTGATAATAACTATTGATAATAATTATTTTCATGAGATAGAGATTATTTTGCTGTATGCAGATGCAGGTTTTGAAAAAATAAAAAGCTGAAAAAATAAAATAAGTTTTCACTGCATGATATTCAATTAAAGAACACACAAGAAAAAAGCTAAAATGAAAAGGAAAAATAAAGCAATAAAAGCTAAAGTTAAAAAACCCTGTAAAAAATGTTGCTAAAAAATCAGCCAAAAAAGCAATATTGAAAAACAATATGTAACTTGATTATACTGTTATAAATGATTTTTGAATTAATTTATATATTAGTTACATTTTTTTACTCTGAATTTGCATAAAATTTGTTTATTAAATTAACTGTATTATTTTATAACCATGAATATTATATTTTATGTAAACCTTTTAAGACAGTAGTATTGATTGTTGTATTAGCATCAGTTATCAATATTGACACCTAATAGGTTCCTATTAAAAATGTTAAACTTAATCATGTGTTTTTATTTTATTTTTATTTGTTACAAAACATTTTTTTTGTCACCAACATCTATACTTTTTTTTTTACCTTGCTTATATCTAGGGCTGTGCAAGAAATTACTTGCACAGCCCTCTCTATATATAAAAACATTTTTTACAAGTTTAGGCATCCACTTCATACAACTTTATGTAATGATATATACAAAAATGTTAAGAATGTTAAAAAAATCTTTTTAGGGTACTTTATTGTGGTTATAACTCTTTAACTGCGAAACGTTGATGACCTAGAACAGAGAAACAAATTGCTTCAATAAAAAAGTAGCACTTATTTAATATATAACCGCAAATCATTTTAATGTGCCAAGAAAAAAAATAAATAATAAGCTAAAGCAAAATCATTTGATGAGACCAGGTAAGCAGCCAATGTTTTCAAAACTTGGAGAAGAATTATTTTTTTCTTGTATTGAAGCTGAGTGATTTTGGTTTTTCGTTTACTTGGAGAAATTTGAGATTTACAATAAGTTGTTACTTGAATAAATAAAAAAGTTTTCAATTTTCCTAACAATGATTGGATAAAAATCTTTTTTAACACTATAGACTAAAGGAATGTTTTTCAGCAAATATCAAATGCTGCAGAGCTGCAAAGTTCAAATGCTGCAGAGCAAATCAAAAAAAAGTTTTTCAAAAGTATGTCATGTTAGGTAAAAAAAAATTTGTAATTTTTCTAATTTCAAACAATTTTCTAAAAGTCTTCTTTTTCTAAATTTTTAAAGTGGAGTTCAAAAGTGTAGAATTTAACCTTGCAGTGTGCAACCACTGCTTGATAAATTTTTAATTGAAAAAGTCAGTTGTTAGCTTGTCATTCTTGGATGCTCTTAAATTGACATGAACTTATAACAAAACCAAAGTTTGCTAAAAAGCAATTAGTTGACATACCAGAAGAAAAAAACTCATTTGGAGTTACTTGATAAGGAAGTATATTTAAGTAAGTCAATTCCAAATCAAAACAATTTTAAGCTACAGCCTGATCCTAGTTGATCTTCAAAATCTAACTTGACTATCTAAGAGAATAATTCAAAAACCACTTGATGGTTCTAATAGAACAGAATCAACTATCCAGTTTTTTGATTACAACTTATTTTATGAATAGGTGAAACCAATTAGCAAACAGATTGATGCACTTGAAATTGTAAAAAGTTGTAAAAATGAGTTAAATAATTGATTATTTTAATGAGAATGGAGCAACAGTTAATGTCATGGTTAAACACCCAAATAATTAAAAACAGCCCTTAAAAATTTTTTTTTTATAAACATTGGATAAAATAATTGGAGGAATAGACTCCTCTAAAAATTTTAGCGAAAGAGGAATCTTCTCATGCCAGAATTGTTTAATGGTGTGGAGTAGGAGTAAACATTAACAAATAACTTTGAAGTTTGTTCATTTATTATATGGAAGTTCATTTGATTTTTTTCTTTTGTTTTCAATATTTATTTATCTAAAAGAAAGTACTCGTTTAAAGTAATGTTTTGTAAAATTCCTGAACCTTGTACTTAAATCAACTTTTTGTGCTAGATTTTTATTGTTTTAAAACTGAATTTTTAGTTACATAAAATATTGTACGTATTTAAAATAGTGTTTTGTTAAATTTCTGAACTAAACCTTAATATATTTTGAGCTTTTATTGGGATTTTATTTGAGATTTTGTTTGTTTTTTAACTTAAAAAATTTATTTTTATTTTGTGGTACAAAGTAACCCTCTTGTTCATACTTTGGATTTGTTTTAAAACCTCAATCAAAGCTTATTAAATCTTATAACTATGTATATATTTTTCTTCACAAAGCATTTTAAAAAAATTTAAAAACTTAAAAAAATCAATTTAATCCTTTTAGGAAAATTTTTTATTATTCTTAAATTTAATTGTAGTGAAGTAACCATTAAAAACAAAGTAAAGTTTAATTTGTTTTATTTTGTCATTTCACTACATTTAAATTTAAGAATAATAAAAAATTGCCTAAAGAAATAAATTGACTATTTTAAGTCAAGAAGGTTGAAATTCTTTTTTTCTTTTTTTTTTTTTTTTTTTTAAATAATAGTTTTTAGTTAGATTACATTTTGGTTTTGGTTTTTAAAAAATCGTTCGACTTAATTACTAAATTATTAATTGTATTTTCTAATTTTATTTTCAAAGAGTTTTCAATATTCAAGTTTATTATCTGTTTTTAGACAGTATTTAATTGTATAAATAGTGACCTCGATATGAAATCAAGAATCTTATGAAATTTTTTGTTTCAAATGGTAACTTAATTTTTCGGTTGTTCTTGTATTATATTTGTTTATGTTTTTTTCAAAAAAAGTTTATCATAAAATGCACTGGAACCATCTTTGTTTTTTAGATATTTAAGTATATTTTGGTTGATATTTATTGGGAAGATATTTAGTGCTTTTATTTCTCTCAATAAGGGTTAAACATGACTAAATTTGTCTTTTGAAGCTGCAAAAATGGCGGAAAAAGATATACTGCATAAATTGAAGTACCATTTTATGTCACCATATGAAAAGTATAGGAAACATGGAAGAAAGCCATGGAAATTAATAATTCAAATTTTAAAAATTTTTATGGTAACTGCACAGGTATTTATATATATTTTTTCAAAGAATTATTTTTTTTTTTAACAATAATAGCATTCTGAACTTTTAATTTTTTTTTTTCTTTTCAAAAAGTAAAGAACAACAAACTTCTTTTATAAAACATTTTTTACTATCACTTTTTTTGAAGTATTTACAAACCTCATATTTAAAGCCTTATTTAGAAAGTCAAAAACAAGATGTAAATGCATTTATAGGAATGTCAATTCATTTATAGGAATGTCAATGCAGTTATAGGAAAAATATCTGATGAAAAAGTTAACAAAGATAACATAGTTAAAATTGAAAATATAGTCATGAATAATAATACTCAATTGAAAAATTCATCATAATAAATCAGATGATCTTGTCCTAGTTTGTAATTCTTTCAAAGACACAAACAATAAAATAAAAATAAAATCATATCAATTCATGCAAAAAATTATTATCAGTGGTTTACTTAAGGAATATAATGAAAATGAAGTTGTTAATATGCTGCACACACAAAACAGTTTTATCCAAGAATTTAGCAAGGTGAACAACATCTAAGATCATTTTTAAATAAAGCTATCAAACCGATAAAAAATAATCCATCAATGTTTTGAGTGTTTGCGAAAGTAAGTAAAATATTACAAGAAGGTTTTGTTATAAAAACAAAGTAACACTTGAATTAACTTCTTGCAGAATATATGACAAACTTAATGTAATGCATTGTTTTAACTGTCAAACCTTTGGACGTTTTGCAAAGAAATGCAAGAAACAAGAATGGATATGTGCTAAATGTAGCGAAAACATTGAACTGATCAGTGCTCTTCAATGGATAAAAAATGTGTTAACTGTATTTTAAATAGGAAAAATGATAATTTTTACTGTACATTTGATATTAAATGTCCTTCACTTGACAGAGAAAAAATACCCTGAAAGAAACACTTGAAATTAGTTGTTTAAATGCCAAGTTCAGAAGGATGATAGAACCTACATAAATATTATGCTCACTATGGAATGTTCGCTCTCTTACTAATAAACTTCCAGATGTAATGGAGCATATACTTGACCGCAATCCAGACATAGCTTTTATTACCAAAACATAGATGACTTCTGAAAACAATCATACAACAGCAATGATAAAAAATGATGTATTTGTTTTTCAGCACAAAATAAGAAAAGAAAGAGATAAAAAAAGGTTGCAGGGTAGGAATTATATTAAAACAATCAATTAAGCACAAACAACTACCAAATAAACAGTTTCACTCCTTTGAACATGTGTGTGTTAAAATTACGGTATCCAAAATATCACTTATATCACTTATTTTAATTTGCATTTATAAACTAATATTTGTCTCTCACATAACATTTCTGGATGAATTCATGGATTTACTTGAAACGATAGTATCAACAGATTGCAAATACATTATAATGGGTTATATAAATATACACTTAGATACTAAAGAACTATTTAACAAAATCTTAAAAGAAATACTAGATGTACTAAATCTAACACAAAAATAATATAGACGCCTCAGGAAAAACAACAATAATTGCTTATATAAAAAAAAAAACATATTTCTTTAACCTATTCAATAAAAACACTTCAAGTAAAAATCTATTCTCATTGGTAAACAAGCTACTAGATAAAACTCAAGAATATGTACTACCAATAGCCGATTCAGACAAACTAGCTAACAACTTAAATAATGATTTTACTGAAAAAATCAGAAAACTCAGGTCTAGTCTTCAAATATCCCGAACAAAGAAAAACACATCAGATTATAATGGGCAATTTTTAGGAAATTTTGATTCAACACCTATGAAGAAATTTAAAAAATCACCATGTCATTTGGAGTAAAATGTTCTCCTGATGATCCGATTCCAGCATATATGAAACACTTTTACTTAAGCTTATCAATGATATATTTGAACTCTTTGATAACATACACATTCAGTAATAATGTTATTTGATATAAGTGCTGCCTTTGACACTATTAATCAGCAAAAACTAATTGGACTAATTAACTAATTTAAAAAACTAATAAAAAAACTAATTAACCAGTGAAATAGATATAGTTGACTCAGCTCACAGGTGGTTCAAATCATTTTTAGTTAACCGTACTCAAAAAGTTAAAATTGGTTACTCATATTCCACAAACCAAAAAAATATATGGAGCACCACAAAGTACAATCCTGGGTCTAAAACTCTTTAATATCTATATGAGATCACTATACAAATATCTGAACATAATCAATGTTAAAAATTTTGGATACTCAGATGATCATCAAACTTTAAAAGCATTCCTACCTTCATCTCAATATAATGCTCTAGTCCTGGATATACCAAAATGTCTTGAATACATATTTAAATGGAGGGAATCATTCTTATGAATTAATCAATCAAAAACAAAAATATTAATTATGGTACCACCTAGCATTCAAAAAGATGTTATTAATAAAGGTATCTTTATTAACAAGGAATGCATTAGATTTGTTGACTAAAAGTTTAGGGGTGATACTTGACAATGAATTATCTTTAAAAACAGTTATACTTACTATTTATAATATTTACTATTTATTACTATATGAGTTAGAGTGATTCTAACTTGCACTTTAAAAAATTATTTTTATCTAATTATTTAAAATAAATTTTAGAAAAATTTACTATTTATTAGTATATAAAGATTATTATACTATTATTAAATAAAGAATTTTTTCAAGTTTCTTTTTCTTTTAACTTTTCTAAACTTAACTTGCTATTTTGTATTCATACAAATTTTTATTTATTTTAATATTTTTTTAAATAAGATAGTTAAAAACTGTTCGATATTATTTATTTTGGATATCCAAAATATCCAAAATAAAGCAATTCTTATTGCACAAAGATTTGTGTACCATATTATTTCACTAATATTTACACAGCTAGATTTCTGACCCAAGTAATTACCATGCAGTTTATATTATCTAATTTTTTTAAACAAAGTTATAGAGTTTATGTTGTTTCACAGCTTTCAGTCTGATGATTTAATGAATGATGAATATCAGATTAGTTTTAAATCTGACCATTTATTACTCAGTTCTTTAACAAGTAATTGACTGCTATAAATCTCATTGAAGCTATATTTTTGTTTGTTTCATTGATTTAAGCCAAGCATTAGACTTTGTCAAACATCGAATTATTATTATACTGTCCCTATTTTTGTTAAATTTATTATCTAACTTGGTTAAGTTGTTAAATTTTGGTAAGTTAATCAACAGATAAATGTTCATTGAAAAGAACTTTTTACTGTATCTTTTTAAGTAATGAATGGTACCAGACAGAGCAGTGTTCTATCACCCTATTTGTTTTGCATGTCATTAACAATACTCTCACCAAATCAAATACTGGTTGTCATATTGATGTTAAGCCTGTTAAGTTCTTGCTATATGCAGATGGTTTAGTAATACTTGCTCCTTTATGGAGTGTATAACAATGTTAAATTTGTGCATTAGTGTTGTTGCTGAATTAGATACGAAAATTAATGGAGAAAAAATTCATTTATTTTGTTATTTGTTTTATTGATAAACATAGTTTCATGGCATAGTTCTTTAGCAAAAGTATAATTGACTTTGTTAAAGAAACTCAAACCTACATATATAAAATGCGTAAAATTTTTTTGGTTATAATTGCATGGATAGTGATACTATTATGTTTTCTGAAGTATTTTTTTGCACTTGGTACTTGTACTTGTTTTCTGATATTGTGGGTGTACCTGAAATTGAGGGTGTTTCCTGAAATTGTCGGAGTAAAATTGTGGGTGTAACCTGATGCTTTTAATGTAACAACATATTAAAAAAATTTAGTTTAAGTTAGAAAAATTTTTTTTTATCAGGACGCCTGATTTTGGGATTAGGTTCGATAAACTTAGCCTTCAGTTTTTTTAGATTAGGGAGAATTGAATTTTTCTTTTGTTGTTAAATTTTTAAGAATTTTATTTTACAGAGAGAAAATTTTTAGTTGCAATTTTGCTTGTGTTTTATATCAGTCATAAAAGAAATATGTTTTCATGGAATTGAATAAGTTTTTTAACCTCGTGTTTCTGAACCATTATACAAATACCATTATATTTTAAACTTTCCAGCTAGCTAAACATTGTCTTTTTGAAAAAATAAACTAATATATGAATCTTTTAAAGAGTTTTTATACTTTAGTGACAATAAAATTAAAAAATGTTTTATATTTAGTTATCATTATTTTTTTATTTTTTTCCTTTAGTGCAGGGATTATATTTTAGATAATAAATTGGATGACAGTATGTAAAATGGATTGTGAACCAATCTTTTAAGTAAATTTATTTGTGGTTAAAGCAAGCGTGTTTTCATTCATTGTGGTTAAAGCAAGTGTTGAGTGTTTTCATTCATTGTGGTTAATTGTGGTTTTCAATGTGGTCATTGTGGTTTTCATTAATTGCAAAGAACAATGAATAATCTTTTTTGATATTTTAAAAAATTCTTGATATTTTTTGTTTATGACAAACCTTCTTATTGTTAAAATTTTTTTTAAGTTTTTCTTTACCTGCTATTTTTGGTAAAAAAGTCATTAAATTTTTTTTTGGTTTACTTATCTGTTACTGCTTTGTTCCTTGAATTCGAAGGCCCATTTCTATTGCAATTTTATTAACAGTAAATTTTTTTCCTGGTTTTCTTGGTGACTCAAAGTGCTCTCTTGAACTCACACAAAATAAAATAAAATTCAGATGGTATAAAAGATGCATATGATCAAAAAACCACAGATTATATTAATGTTTTTTTTAATAAAGTTAAATGTAATAACATTAATGAACCTTAGGTTATTACATTTATGCATTCATAATACATGTTTTTAGCAATTTCATTAAAGTTACGCTGTATGTAAAAAAAACTATTATATGTTAAATAAGTTAGTTATTGTAGCTAGCTGTCCAGACCCGTAAAATATGGGTCTTGTTGAGTCTAGTCCACACTGACCATTTCTATACTCATTCTGTACTTCATCATTATTTAGTAAGGGGTAGAAAAATAATTATACATTTTTATACATATAACTATACATATTTTTTACATTTTAAAACTATTTAAAAAAAGATTAAAACGCTTTGGTAGCCATTGTGCAAACCGCTGTTTATCAGCAGTTCGTTTATTAGCACTAAATAATGATATAGTATTTAACACTACATTATTTGAAGTTTAGATAAGTTAGATATTTGCACTTTCATTCACATTTTCTTATAAGGAAAGTGTTGTGACTCTTTCTTGTTATTAACTTGGTGTAATGGCTGCCATAAGTGAAACATATTTATTTTAAAATAAGTTGATAATACTTTTTGTAAATTTTTTTATTTATAAATATAAAAGCCTTTTTTATTGCATGACATAAAATATGCTTTATACTGTTGTAATTTTTTTCTTTTTTTTTTTGGAATCGCTACCTTGAAAAAGGGGACATGTTATGTGAATTTTTGCAGGACATGTCCCCTTTTTCAAGTTAGCGATTCATTTATACTTTTATTAATGTTGCATTATACTATTAAAATATAGGTTATTTTGTTTGGCACAGATCGTTTTGCTTTTATCGCATTTATGAAAAATACACAAAATGCATTTAAAAATCTTTTTATTCAATCATACAATGGTGTTACACCATTCTTTATCATTGATAAAGATACACTTATTGATGCAATCATATATACTAATGAAACAGTAAGATTTCTTTTTATTAAGCATTATATAAATTTAGTTATAAAAACATAAATAGTTTTAAATTTTTGAAAATTTGTAAATTTTTTTTTTCCTTTTATGCTAGTATTATGACTTGATGGAAATATCAATTGGTAAGTTTCGATATGCAGGTTTTGTAGAGAATAATCCTTCACCTATATTAATATGTTTGAAGCAGTATCAGTATGCTAATGGTAATATTAGTCTTGGAATAGATCAAGATGCAGCAACAAGAGAAGGTGACAAGTTTTATATTTACGAAAATATCAAAAAAGGTTTTAATCATTGATGTTAAAAAAGATTTTCTAATTCATTATATAGATAAAAAATAAATTTATTTTAAAATTATTTTGTTAAATCTAAAAAGTTGTTTCTAAAATCATAAAATTTTTTTAGTTTCTAAAGTTTCTTAAAAGCTTTTTAAAACAACATACAAGAAATATTTTTTCAATGAGTTAACTTTTACAGGGATTGTTTTTTCAGGATATTTCTAATATATATATATATATATATATATATATATATATATATATATATATATATATATATATATATATATATATATATATATACATATATATATATATATATATATATATATATATATATATATATATATATATATATTTTTGTAAAGAAAAGTTAAAAAATATTTTTTTGTAACTCAAGTAGTTATCAAATAACTTTTTTGATGATTTTGTAACTTTGTCATTAAAACAATAAAAAGATTTTTCATAAATTATGCATCATTATATTTAGTTAATAAATAAAATGAAAAAAATTAAAAACTTTTTTTTAAAAACCAACATTCTGGGCACACTTTTCCATTATCTACCCCAATAATTAAATAAACTGAAAAAATAAACTTTAGTTAAAAGCTTCATCTACCCCAATTAATTAATAATTTAGTTAAAAGCCTCATCTACCCCAATTAATTAATAATTTAGTTAAAAGCCTCATCTACCCCAATAATTGAATAAAACTAATTCATTTTTTAAGTTAGTTTAATGTTTAGTTTGAATTTGATAATTATATCTGTTTAATTTTTTTAATGGTTTCTTCAAGCACCCACAATCAGTTAGTCTGTAAATTCCAAAGGTATTTTTAGTGCTAATATGTCCTGGTCTACTTTACTCAAATAATGTTTTCAATAAATAGCAATTTTTTTATTTTAGTTTTTTTTAAGTATAAAATATAGAATATTTGTTATTTTAGATTGCGTAGAGATGTTTTCAGAATCTATTTTAAGTTTTAAATTACAACAGAATGGTTTCTTTGACAGGTAAAGTTATATAATCTTAATAATGTTGTTGAATGGTAATTATTGTATTTATATAATCTCTATAATTATTAGAATTATTGTATGGTAATGTTCTTTATTTATTTATATATTTTTAATTACAAATTTACTTTCAAAGTTGCAAACCACAAATTAAATTTATAAAAATATGAAAATATTGAATCTAGAAAAAGTTATGGAAAATATTTTTTGTCACTTACAAGGAGATCTAGTTAAAAAGTTTAAATACCCACAAAGATTTTATAAAAAAAGTACTAAAATACTATAAATCTCATGAATATTAAGAACATTGTGTAAAAAAAATTAAAAACAATTTAAAAATTAAGCTAATATGAGTCCAAGAAAGCAAAGTTTAGGTTGTAAAAAATTGTGCCTGATTAAAGATAGGAAATAAGGTTTTTCACAAATTTATTTTTGTTTAGACTTTGTTGTGCAAAAAACCTATAAATTTATGTTATGTAGTTTTTAGCCCTTGTAATTAGGGTCAGATAAATTTTGTGCTGACATAAATGTGTCTGAGGTGGGAGAATTTTCGCCAACTTTATTTTTTCTAATTTTGAGGGCTGGAAGTTTTTGAGTTACTATCAATTTATTTGTAATTTAATTGTCTTTAGTAGCTTAAACTGAGTTTATGGTTTTTAATGTCTTAGACCGCATAAGAGTGATTTTTTGTTGTTGTTAAAGCAGGACCCAGTTCTGCTGATTTTTTGTTTCTATTTTAATAGATAAATGTTTTGTTTATGAATTTGTCAAAACAAGAACATAAAGTTATCTATAATAAAATAACAAAACCCTATTACTATTTACATTTTTTTATTTAAACTTTTTTTTTTTAATTGTATAATCTTGAACCTGGTTTTTTTAAATATTTTTAAATTTCTTAAACTGTTTTTGAAAACTTTAAATTATTTTCTATATATTTTAGTGTGGTTTCCATTCATTTAAAGTTTAGTTTAAGTGTTGTCTTTTGGAATGGTTTAAAGCGGCATCATGTTCCTGAATGTTTTGAAATGCAAAATAATGTATATTTAATTTATTTCATATTTTATATATATATATATATATATATATATATATATATATATATATATATATATATATAATATATATATATATATATATATATATATATATACACACACACACATATATATATTTGAGTCATATAATCATTCAGATAATCAGTAGTCTGGTAGATTGAATTATTTTGGGTATTTTTTTTTGGGTGAAAAAACTATAGAAAAAAAAATTCTGAATAAGAACTGTTTAATTAAAAAATAAATTATTAATAAAAAAAGTGAAATTAAGGATTAATAAATATTATTCTGGTAGGTACACCTTAAAAACAATGCATTCACAATTAATGTTCTGGACTAGCGCTGTTTGACCTTAAAGTGAATAATAAACTTTGTTTATGCCATGTTCTTATAAATACTCTCTCCTAATAAATGCAACTTTAACTATTTCTTTTTCATAAAAAGTGATATAAGCAACTTAAGTGAAAGAAAATTAAAAAGCCAAAACTAAAAAATTTTTTAACATGGGTAAGCACCAATTCCAAAATAAGTTTGCAATTTCTTGGTTTTGAGTTTTATCTATGGTTGTTACAAATAAAAATATATAAAAATTTAACAATATTTTAGTCGCGTTGATAAAATTAGCTTTTTATTAGTAGTAGAGATGTTTATAGTTTTTAAGAGGTACTAAGATTAACACAAACGTTGAAACACAAAGTCAAAATTTTTTTCAGAATCATTAAAAAATGTTTTAAAGCAACATAAAACACTTCTCTGTCTAAAGCTAACACTATCCTCATCAGTTAAATTATCATTCGCTTTTGTTTTTGTTGATGTGGCTAGTTTAATCATTTTTGGCTTCATTCCATCAACTTTACAAGAACTTTTGCTGCAAACAGATTTTTTAATTTTGTGGCAGGCTGTTCACTCCTTAAAACCCTTTACTTTACAAATGTTATTGGTAATGCATTTTAATTTACATTTATAAAACTATTCTTTATCTTTTTGTTTCTCTTGTTTTTTCTACTCCTTCTGATTCTGTTGTTTCTTTTTTCTATTTCAATTAACTTGACCTGCTTAATGATGTTTTGTGTTGCGATTGACCATTGTGTTTTCATTGACCCATGCATGTTGGTGACATGTATATTTTTTGTTTTGTTCATGTCTTTAGGCTTTACCATGTTTACTGTTAGCAAACCTGGTAAATCTTCTGAATTTATACTATTCTCATAATTTTTACTGGATGAAATCAAGTTTCCAATTATTTCCACACAAGACACTGCTTGTTGTATCTGAAATTCTTTTGTGTTTATTTTTTTCTCTTTTGTCTTTGAATTTGGTTTTCCAGCAATAAGAGGTATATTTCTCATTTTGATTATAAATTTTGGTTTCACCATTGCAGAATTATTTATACTATTACAAGGTTAAAAACACTTTCAAGCAGAAAAACAATAAAAAATATACCTTCTAAATAAAAACATAGTTTCAAGTGTCTTATATGTTAAATTCACAAGAAATATTTCTTACAGAGGTCTGCCTAATTATGTCATATCATAACTCACCCTTAAAGTTATAATTTTTAAGCGTTAATTGTGAAGTTTTTAAGGGTTTTCTTAGGTTGTTTATATCTTTTTGTTTATAGAAAGTTTAAAAAAATGTGTGTGCAAACACTATAGCCTATAAGCAAAATGTTCAAAAAATTTGAAAAGAATTTGATTATTAACAAAATTACCCAAAAACAAGTTTTTAAGGGGTAGCATCTGAAAAAAGCAAATTTTTTTTAAATCTTAAAATTTTACTCAAAGCCACAGATTAAAAAATATGGCTTAGAAAGTCAAAGTATTAGGTAGTTTTCAAGTAAAGAATATTTCAGTGTTTCTTAAGTTCCCACTTGTGCAATTTAAGAAACACTGTGTTCTTGATTTCGACTTACAGGGTACCAAATTTTGTTGTTGTTTTTAAGGTATACCTACTTTTCAATCAAATATTAAAATGTGTTACAAAATGTTAAAATCAAATGCTAAAAGCTGTTTAAAAATGTTATTAAGTAAAATTACATTTAGTTACAAAGCTTATTATTAAGTTTATTATTATATTAAGTTATTATTATATAATATTATATTACTTTTCTATATATTATCCGTTTAATAATACTATTTGACATATAGCAAGACAAATTTATCCGTTTAAAAAAATTGTTTATTAGCATTTTGAATTTAATCAAACTCATTTTGAATTAAGAAAAAAACATGGTTTGAAATGTGACTGTTACATTAAAAAAATTTTATACATTTGCAATTTAAATTGAAAAAAAAAACTTGTTTCAAAATGCAAACATCAATATTTTAAAAAACGATATAGTCACACTTTAAAACATTTTAAATTGCTTGCATGTCTAATTTAATTTAACTGAACTTCTTTTTATTAGGTTTAGTAATTATGTAATGCACTGATGTGTATTCATTTTTAAATATAGCAAATTTAAGTAAATTTTTAAACCTAGTGTATTATATATATATGTATATATATATAGGTATATATATATATAAATATATATATATATAAATATATATATATATATACATATATATATATATATATATATATATATATATATATATATATATATATATATATATATATATATATATATATATAAATATATATATATATATATATATATATATATATATATATATATATATATATATATATATATATATATATATATATATAGGTATATAAATATATATATATACATATATACATATATATATATATATATATATATATATATATATATATATATATATATATATATATATATATATATATATATATATATATATATATACCCATAGTGTAGTCGAAAGAGCGTTTTAATGTAAAAAAAGTCTTTTACGACTACAATTTTAATTACCTCGTCTCTTAAGCTGTTTTTGATTGTCATCGAAATGTCAAAGCAATTAATTTATGCGGAAGTGCATTAAATTTAATTGTTTTTTAAAATTTTTTTAAAAAACCGCAATTATAACGACTAGAAAGTTTTTTTTAATTAGTGGTGTTTTTGTTATTGATTTAATAAAAAACATTTTTAAAACATGCGTAAATGTTGCTACATTGACTATCTTATAGCCTGACTCGCAACGGAGTGCTGCTACATCGACTGACAAATAGCCTGACTCGCAAGGGAATGCTGCTACATCGACTGACAATTAGCCTAACTCGCAAGGGAGTGCTACTACAACAACTGACAAATAGCCTGACTCGCAAGAGAGTGCTGCTACATCGACTGAGGGTTTGGTTTGGCCAGGCAGTCTATCAATTTAAAAAAAAAATTTAATTTTAAAAACTTTTTCTGGTCTGGTTTATTAACGCGCTCTTTAAAACTACAGTTTATGGGAAACTTTTTTTGATGCCATGCAAGAGACATGCAAGAGTGTATATATATATATATATATATATATATATATATATATATATATATATATATATATATATATATATATATATATATATATATATATATATATATATATATATAAAATTGATAAACCCCACTTTTTAAAAAATCTTAACTTTAAGTGTCAGCGTATTTGATTTAGTCATAGTTTTTTATATTTTTAATAAATTTCCCAAACAATAAAAATTAAGTTCATTAAACGAAAAGTTTTTTTAATATCATAAGGGGAATTTTAAAAATCAATTTATATTATTTCTTTTTTTTTTTCCACTTATATTTTTATGGAGTGATTCAAAGAGTGCACAGAGAGACTCTTTGAATCACTCCATAAAAAGACAGATATATAAAAAAGATATATATATATATATATATATATATATATATGTATATATATATATATATATATATATATATATATATATATATATATATATATATATATATATATATATATATATATATATATATAGCTCTTAACTTCTTTTTGACATATAACAAGACAAATTTAAGATATTTGACATATAGCAAAACAAATTTACTATTTGATATATAGCAAGATAAGTTTAAGTACAGTTTATGTCAAAACTATTAAACTTAACTGAGGTAACTAAATATATCATAAAACTGCTAAAAAATTCTGAATGTTTTTATTTTTATTTTTTTACTGTTTACATACATCAACTGACAAGTCAATGGTAGAACATGTGAGGACTACTGCTACATTGACTAACAAATAAGTAAACATGCAATACTTTTTACATGCAGTAAATTTAATACATGCAATAAATTGAGTACATGCAATATATGAGTAAACATGCAGCTGCTACATTGACTAACAAATAAGTAAACATGCAATATGTGCTGTTGCATTGACTGACAAATAGGTAAACATGCAAGTGCTGCTACATCAATTAAAAGTTTGGATTGGGTAGGCGATCTATCAAATTAAAAAAAAAACTTTTTGAAATTTTATAACTTTATTGGTCCTTTAAATTAGATTTTTTTTTCAAAAAAACATTAACTTGATATTTTATGGTAAAAATCAAGAACGACCAAACATAAGTATATTTGTGTGTTGTGTGTGTGTCTGCATGTGTATATATTGCATTCATAATTTTTCTATTTATTGCTTAGATAGTTTTTGACAATTCATATCATGATGGTCAACTTCGTGTTAATCTTGAAATGAGTGAAGATATTTCTAATTGTCCAGATAATTATGCGCTATTGGGTATAAATAATATTTTTCATACAATTGTTGTTTAAAAGTTATTATTGTTTTTGATGTTGCTGATGTTTTTTTTTTGTTTTTTTTCTAAGTTTTTCTGTATAAAAATAATGTCAAAAACATATTTCTACTATCTATTCTTATCTATTCTACTGATTCATATTTTATTAAATATCAATTAATAGAATATGAATTAGTAATAATAATATAATTTTATTTGAAAACTTTGGCATATAAAATTCGCCGAATGGTCACACACGAGCAGTGAACGCCTGAGGGAAGAAATGAAGTACATTAGAATAAAGGAGAATTATTTATTAGACAAAGCATATTTTGACAGTTGTCAAGACAAAAATAAAGATTAATTAGAAGAATATTTAAAAATAAATAAGACAGGCTATACATCCACAACAATAATAACAATAAAATCAAATTTAAAAAGATAAAAAAAAAATTGTTTTATAAACAACAATATGAACGAAGATATATATCACCAGACAAAAACTTGTAAAACAAAAAACATATCACAAAATAAAAAATCTGATAACAACAATGAGAGGCATTTAATAATGGAAAAAAACATTAATAAAAATAAAGATTAATAGAGGAATATTTAAAAATAAATAAGACAGGCTATACACCCAAAACAGTACTCAACAATAATAACAATAAAAAAATAAATAAATAAATTTTTTTTGTTTTATACAACATTTAAAAATAATAAAAATGTAAGCAGCATATATACAACAAATACATTACCAGACAAAAACTTATAAAACAAAAAACCGATCACAAAATAAAAAATATGCTATCAACAATAAAATGCCTAATAATGGAAAAAAAACATTAATGCTAATTTGTAAAAAATAATTTGTGTAGTGATTAAGTAATAAACATCTCCTCAGAGTCGCGTCTATCATTACTGGCGTTTCGATGAGGATCAGCATTTATAACTAGTTTATCTTGTCAGACAAATATCATCGCCACTTATGCTTTACCCCGCGACTTACGCCTATTCCATACTCCAGTAAAAAAGGACTCACTACAAATAGCCAAAACCCAACCAACCCCAAATTTGTAAAGCACCAGTAAAGCACCAATATTTTTAATGATATGATATAAAAAGTGTAGATTTACTGAACAAACAAAAATAAAAAATAAATAAATAAAAAACTTACCATACCACCAAAAGAAAACTTGTAGTCTACAGTGAGATTTTTGGTATTTTCCTTTTAAACAATCTGAGTGTTTTTCTTGCAGACCAGATTTTTCACAAAAATATCTTGATTGTTTAAACTAATAACTGACTGACAGCAATGTCTTGAAAAAGCATCTTAACTAGATTGAGATGGTGGTTGAGTTTTTAAAATGTAACAGGGGAGGGTCTTTAAAAGTGACAGAAAAAATTGCATATTTTTTTTATACCTTGCATGTTTTGATAATTTGCGTGTTTAAAAAACATAGCGTATAGTTTATGTGCATTTTTAAACCTAGTGTACTTTGAATGATTTTTTAAAAGTTAGTTTTCAATAATCACAAGCATTAATATCTTTATAGTTCAAAATATGGTTTTATTAATAAACATTCTTTTGTAAGTAAAAAAGTGTCTGGTCGTTGTTAGTTGCATCAATTAAATGTTAACTAAAAGTTGATGATGACACATTGGATTGCAAGTATATTTAAGACAGTTATTTTTACATATGTAAAAAAGCCCCTGTAGCGCTGAATAGTTACTGAAACACTATCAATGGCAACTGATAGTGTTTCAGTAACTATTCAGACAAGAATAGTTACTGAAACACTATCAGAACAATGACAAGATATTATTCGTAGGTATTTCTTTTTCATGAAAAAACTCCTTCAACTCAAAAAATATTGTCCTTTAGTACCAATTTGCAAATTCTTAGCAATTAATAATTCTTTACAAATTTGTTCTTCTTTTTTAAATCGCACATATGCTAAAAGTAAAGTTTCATTTCCTGGCAAAGTTGAGTAATTTAGCTGTAAAGTTGTTTTTAAATACTCACCTAATAAATATTTAACAACTTAAGCTGTTTCATCAATTCAATTTGCAGTGTATTTTTACTCAAAAATTTCTTTTTGATAATATCAGATGCTGACTGCATAGCATAGTGTGTATTACCTCACTTAAAGCCGGTAAAATAACTAATTTTACCAGCTTTAAGTGAGGAAATACACACTTTGGGAAAACCTCACACCAATAGTGTGATGTTTTCCTGATTTAGCAATTAGTAATCTATTGTGGTAAAAATCATCCAACTGATTGTCATCTTAATTTGAAGCTGTTCTAAAGAGTTTCGTCAATATTGCTTGAAAATAAAATAAGTTTTTTTTTTTTTTATCACCATAAATAGGTACATGACGCAAAAATTTTAAATTGATTAAACGCTGGAATGTTAATAGAAAGCTTTTCAATACACTATTTTAATGATAAATTAATAAAATTGAACAAATCTACAAAAAGTTATGTGGTTTTTAGTAGCAAATTTTTGATATATGGATTTGTTAAAAATAATTGTGGTCAAAATAAAGTTTTTCTTCATCTATTTTTTTACAACTTTGTCAATTTTTAACCAAATAGCTATAACTAGATATCAAAAGATAAGTGTAACAGTGGGCTACAAATTTATAATAGCCTCAACCAACTAGGCATATCTAGCGGGCTAAAGGAGAAGCTAAACTAAACTACCACCTTTACCCTTAGATAAATAAGTTGTGAGAGGTGTTAATATAAAAACATATACCAAATCACAAGTTGCATCCAAGAAATCATTATTTAGAATAAAAGGTGTTTAAACAACCTCCAATCTAAAAACATTTGTTTAAATAAAAACATCATATTGTATTTAATTTTTATCTTGGCGTTTAGTAAATGAATAAAATTTTAAATCCCATTTATGAATTTAAATAATAATCATTCATTGTCAACCAAAGACACGACAAGAACATAAGCCAGACCTGCCTATCAAAAAATTGCATGCCACACCACTTGTGATAACTATTTTTGCAAGTAACACTGCTTGCAGTACCTATTTTGAAAGTAACACTGCTTGCAGTACTTATTTTGCAAGTCGCACCACTTGCAGTACTTATTTTGCAAGTAACACTACTTGCAGTACTTAATTTGCAAGTCAAATCACTTCTGTTTGCTAACCTAAACTTGCTGTACTTAAACTTTATTTATAAAAACTATATAAGCACATCACATTACACATTCAGATTATGAAGTCATTAACTCTCTTGCTACGATATCAGCAGCATGCTGAAACTTTTTCATTCAATTGTCAATAGCCTCCAAATTAGTTTTATTATGGTTCAGGGTATAATTATAAATTAATATATTCTTAAAAAAAAAATTGTTCTTATAAATTTATATATTTTATTATTCTCATGAAAAAAATAAATATTAAATCAAAATTTGGCACCTTTGAATCCGTGGTGCCTCGATGAAATCACCGATTGGACCTGTCTTCGGCCAGACTTATATATATATTTTATATATAAATATATATACATACATATATATATATAATGTATATATATATAATGTATATATATATATATATATATATATATATATATATATATATATATATATATATATATATATATATATATATATATATATATATATATATATATATTATATATATAATATATATATATATATATATATATATATATATATATATATATGTATATATATATATTTATATATATATATATATATATATATATATATATATATATATATATATATATATATATATATATATATATATGTGTGTGTGTGTTTGTGTGTGCCTCGATGAAATCTGCCATTGATGAAATCACCCATTGTACCTGTCTTCGGCCAGACTTATATATATATTTTATATATAAATATATATATAGTATATATATATACATACATATATATATATAATGTATATATATATATATATATATATATATATATATATATATATATATATATATATATATATATATATATAATATATATATATATATATATATATATATATATATATATATATATATATATATATTATATATATATATATATATATATATATATATATATATATATATATGTATATATATATATTATATATATATATATATATATATATATATATATATATATATATATATATATATATATATATATATATATATATATGTGTGTGTGTGCCTCGATGAAATCTGCCATTGATGAAATCACCCATTGTACCTGTCTTCGGCCAGACTTATATATATATTTTATATATAAATATATATATAGTATATATATATACATACATATATATATATAATGTATATATATGTATATATATATATATATATATATATATATATATATATATATATATATATATATATATATATATATATATATATATATATATATATATATATATATATATATATATATGTATATATATATATTATATATATATATATATATATATATATATATATATATATATATATATATATATATATATATATATATATATATATATATATATGTGTGTGTGTGTTTGTGTGTGCCTCGATGAAATCTGCCATTGATGAAATCACCCATTGTACCTGTCTTCGGCCAGACTTATATATATATTTTATATATAAATATATATATAGTATATATATACATACATATATATATATAATGTGTATACATATATATATATATATATATATATATATATATATATATATATATATATATATATATATATATATATATAATATATATATATATATATATATATATATATATATATATATATATATATATATATTATATATATATATATATATATATATATATATATATATATTATATATATATATATATATATATATATATATATATATATATATATATATATATATATATATATATATATATATATATATATATATATATATATATATATATATATATATATATATATATATATATATATGTGTGTGTG